ATCTGCATCTTATACAATACAGAGCTGTAATGCAGAGAGGGGAGACATGAAAACATTCTGTTTGAAACTTTCTAAACTATACTAAGCCATCCTGAGATTGTACTCTATGTTTATTGCAGTAAATGGACATTCCATGCCGACTAGTGGAGTCCAGAGCCAGTTCACACCTGGTGCTACAGACCCTCTGCTCTCCATGATCAGCAGCAGCAGTGTGGTGCAGCAGACACAGGTTGTGCATCATGTCCTGGCTTCAAGTATAGAATTATCACTTCATGTTTGTTTTTTTACATTTCTCATTTATTGCTTCTGCCTCTTGCACTTTTCTCTCCTTTTCTGCATGTTTGCCTCAGGTGGATGCTGTTGACAGTAAGGTCAGCCTCAGTGGAGTGACAAAGGACAGCACAGGCACTGACAGTGGATTATGGGACACAGTGGACTCAGATCTCCTTCTAGCCACCGACACCCCTCCACCTTATCCTGAAGATCTTTCCTCTGAACCCTGCTCTCCCCCTCTCTCATCTGCTTACCAGGCCCTCGCCAGGCTGAACCGTCCCACCTCCTTGGAGCCAAACACTCAGAGAAACAGTCCTCCCATGGACACATATGACCTCAGGTATTAAATATTGTTTTCTCAGAAGGCAGTGATGTGGGTGCCACTGTGTCTTTGGGTGTAACCGGTCATTTCTTATTCCAGTCCAAGTCTAGTGGCTTTGGAAGTGGACAGTGAAGAGGACAGCACTGACCCAAAGCCTGCACTTTTCCCACTCTTGTCAGATGTTGAGATAAGTGAAGACAAAGGGGAAGCCATTTGTCCTTCTCCCGACCTTATTTGCACTCGCAGCCAGTCTGCCTCCTCAGCATGCGAACCCACCACTAAAGTAAAATATCATCGCAGCTGTTACACACTTTCATCAGATATTTTCTTTTCTCCTTATATCACAAGAACTGTTTGAAGTCTTATGTTGTTCCTTCGGATGATTTGTTTCTTTGCCTAGGAATCGGATGACCAGGGGATTCGACTGCGTTCCTATTCCTACTCTTCCTCCAAAATCAGTTTGCGTCCTGGCCGTTTTGCCCGAGACAGCCCTGGTCAGTATCACTGGGGCTTTTTAGTCCCTCACACAATTAGAAAATCAGTCTAACACATAACTAACATGGTTTCCATTAACTGACCTTGCACATTTTTTGTGTCACTAATGAAACAGCCTCACAAGATTGGTTGGTGCAAGAGCTGATTTTTTAAATTTCTGCTAATAATCAGTACATTCAACTCTCAGTAAATACATGCACTTGAAGCAAATCTTGTTTTTTGCAGAGAGTTAGATGAGAAGCTACCACTCTCATGTCTGTACAGTAGATATGAAGCCAGCAGCTTCCTCAGCATGCAAACCCACAACAAAAGTAAAATCTATAGCTTAGGCTATAGATTAGAAAAAGGAGGAAACAACTAGCCTGGTTCAGTCTCAGGTAACAAAGTCCACCTACGAGATTCCCTAAATCTCACATTATATATTATTTTTTTAATCCTTACAAAAAACAGAAGTGTGAAAAAGTTGTGGCGATTCATGGAGTCTTGTTGTCACCATGACTTTGTCAGGCCTGGATAAGAAATGGTCTGGCACATAACTCCCCCGCTATCAGCTTCTTGTTTTTAAACAGTGGTTTTTCTATGAATTAAATAAGTAAAATGAGATGCAAGTAGGGATCTTTGGTGATTATAGACAGATTTGTTACCTTTGAATGGAGCCACGCTAGCTGTTGCCTATGCTAAGAGATGCTAACTGACTTCTGGCTGCAGCTTCATATTGAAAGAACAGACATGGGAATGGTGCCAATCTTCACTTCCCTCTCTCAGCAAAATGGCAAATAAGTATATCCCCAAATTTATTCCTTTAACAGTTAATAGAAAAGGATTATAGTTTTATAAAGTGATCATGGAACACAGCATAAACTAGTCATTTAACAGCTCTCAGTCCTGGAGTTGACTGTACACGGTGACAGTTTGCACCTTCTGTAGCTGATCTGTGAGCAGCCCTCTGTCCACTGTGCCCTGTAGATGGCGTGCTCCAAAGTGTCAGCCCCAGCCGATCTCTCCTTCAGGCCCTCTCTCTGTCTAAATCTCTGTCTCTTCTCCACCCTGGTAGTAAGTACTGGACACCTGCAGCTGTCACACTGCGCTAAGGCTCGGCACAGCCAGCACGTCGCTGCCAGTATCGCTGCTTATGTGCACGTGTGTGTGCTTTTTATTGCAGGGGGGTCAAGGTTATTACTGAAAACTGATTCAACTCTTGAAAGTATTTTTTATAACATCTGACTTTACTCAAAGACAGAAAAAATGTGGCTATAATTAATATTTTGATGTTAACAGTGGGTGACATGACATTGTGTAATGCCAAAGGACTTCCTTGTGTGTTCGCTGCTGTGTTCACACCTTCCTTTTGTTATTCCCAAGATGCCAAAAAACTGTTGGTGCAACTTTAAAAATGGCACCGTTAACAGAGAGCAGTGTTTTCTCTCATGTGACTGCCAGTTGCTTTCCAAATGTAGGAACCTTTATCCAACATTGTTTGGATGTTTCCTGTTTCCTAATGATGTATCCTGTTGAACATGAAATGAAAATTTGATAACAGCTGCTGTTTTTTTATTGTCCCAAATGTCAAATCTGTGAATATTGA